GTGTATGTGTCACACAGAACATCCCAAACCATCTTATTCAACTATACACCCACTTCCCAGATGGCACCCTCCCATAGCCTCCTTCCTCCTACTAGAGCCCTTATACTCTGTCATCCCTGCTACTGTCCACTGTGTTGTCGGCACCCCCAGCCATCCCCCACTACTTGTCCATCTGGTGAATCTAGTCAGCCTATCTAGAGATCAAAACTTCATGTTGTATACTTTGACTATATTTAACCTTTGACAATATATATTTTAAAATTCAGGGCTAGGAACACAGCTGAGTTGGCAAATCACTTGCCGTACGAGCATGAAGACTTGAATTTGATCCCCAGAACCCACATAAAAAGTCTAGCATGGTAGCATGTACTTATTTCAGCACAGAGGGAAGCAGATGTCTGGACTGTTATTGGCAAACCCCAGGCTAGTGAGAGACTGTCTCAAAAAACAAAACAAAGGCCGGGTATGGTGGCACATGCCTTTAATCCCAGCACTTGGGAGGCAGAGGCAGGCGGATCTTTGTGAGTTCAAGGCCAGCCTGGTCTACACAGTGAGTTCCAGGACAGCTGGGGCTACAGGGAGACCCTGTCTCAAAAAGGAAAAAAAAACAAGGTGGATAGCTCCTGAGAAACAGCACTTGAGGTTGCGCTCTGGCTTTCACCAGCACAGACGTGACCCCCCGCCCCAACACACACACACACACACACACACACACACACACACACACATATGCACAAATACAAATTTAGAGTTTGGCTTTTTTTTTGCTTTTCTGTAATTTTCAAATTTTTGAAATGTTATGCTGTTTTTGTAATCAGAATAAAAAGTGTAAAAATTTTAAGATCTACATGTTTAAAACAGAATATTTCACTGAATTTCAGTGGTTAAGTTTAAAGGACAAGATGTAGGGAACTTCTTTTTTAAAGTAGGCTCAGAATTAGGATCACATTTTTATTAAGCATAAAATTAGATAAATTTAGGCTATTTTCATCAGAATTATCAGTTATAAATCCTAATTTCAAGTGCTTCAATTTGAACCATGCTTCCTATGTTCAACCTTTTCTAGTAAGTATGATTATTGAAGTCAGACTGAAGTCAGTCAGTGTCCAAATGTGAACTACCTCAAGGTATACTGGGTACCTGTCACTATATACATGGTGTCAGATAAACACAAATTCGATTTATGATTTACTGGAACTTACTTCATTTTGGAAAGTCCTACATGGCTTAAAATAGCACATGGAACAAAAATTTCCTTCCAGAGATGAGTGTGTAGAGAAGAACAGCTTCAACCACACATGAAGAACCAGCCCAGCCTCCAGCCAATGCTGTTCTCCCTCCCTCCTCTGCCCTGTCTCTGCAGCTGAGTAAATGGCCACTGTACTGCAAATGTGCAACTTCCTGAGACCTGTGTGGATGGAAAAACAGCAAACAGGAATGGATGCTTTGCAG